AAATTATATTTTATAATATATATCATGATGAATAGGATAGATAATACAAATATGCAATTAAATATATTTTAAATATATGAATGTTCACAGTACAGACTCTAAAGGAAGTGAGAAAACATGGAGCTATTTCTTCCATGTGATGAGTCTCCCTAGACTTGGATGTAAAAGAGCTACCATTTTTTATGCTTTTGAATTCTGCCAATAAGAATTTGATAGAGCCCAGTGCAAACATCAGTCCTCTGATCCACAAGGTCTGGGGCTTCATCAGACATCCACTTTTTCCAGCTGAGAAGTTGCTTGCTGTTCAGATGGCTGAAGGCTAGAGTCCTGAGTGTAGGTGACTCTACTTGTAAGCCTAGCTCTGGTCAGGGATGGACTCAAAGGCAAAGGCCAACTGGGAGCATTGACTGGAACCTTCTCATCTAGAGAGTAAGCTTCTGCCTGGCTGTCTCCTGGATTTTCAGCCCGAAGCTCTTGCCCAGGACTCTTAATACCACGTGCCTGAGCAGTTTGGTGGGAGAACAAAGATAGAAGGAGGGGAACAAAGACTGATTGAGAAGACCTCTGTTCGCACACACAACAAAGGACTGAGTGATATTCCCATGGAAACCGCCATTATATTTAGTTAAAATATTCTTTCCATCGGCAGGAAACACTGAATATTTATGAAGATTATAATATATACAATTTGAGCACTTCCAGTTTTAGCTTGTAGAAGTGAAAAGCTGCAAAAATGCTGCTTTACTGACTGCACAAGAATAATAACACCTCCCAGAGGGCTGGAGGAGGGCCCAGCAGTCAAGAGCACTTGTTGCTCTTGCAGAGGACCTGGGTTCAGTTCACAGCACCCACCTCAGGGAGTCACAACCACCTGTAACTTCAGCTCTAGGAGATCCAACACCCTCTTCTGGCCTCTGCAGGCATGTGGTAGGCACTCATACACATATACACATACATACACACACAAATAAATACATTTTTATTTTTACTGCTTTTGTTTTTTTGTCTATTTTTGAGACAGGGTATCCCTGT